TAGGTCGGTGACGTGGCGGGAGTGACATGGCATCTGAGATGCGTGCGTGGTGTCTCCGTGGGTCTCCGGGTGTCCTTGCCATGTGTGTGGCTAAGGTCATCAGATTGAGGAGGCCTGGCTGATTTCGGAAATGGTGTCAGCTGCGTTATCCTGTCAAGGCCCTAGTGGCTCAGAAGTTGTTATGCTAAGGGTGAACCCGAGGTCGAAGTCACCTAGAGTTTACTGTCCGTGGTGACATCCTGCTAGCTGCACCTAAACGAGGCCTTGAACTCACCGTGGAGGATGTGAAGGGTCTGTGGTTCCTCTGCCCTTCAACAGTGGTACGGGCTGGAGGCTCTTCTGAGATGAAGTCAGAGCCTGGCCTTCTTTCTGACCGAACTGTGCCCGATATCCTTGGAGAGGGTGGAAGTCAGGGGACACCCCAGGTCAGCCCTATCCAGTCCAGGCTCTACGCCCCAGAGGCCCGCTCTGATGGAGGGGTATCTTGGCGGATGGTGGGAGTGGGTAGCTGAACCCTCATTCAGTCCCAGGGGTTTGGTGAGGGTGGGGTCCATGCCACTCATCAGAGAAGAGTGAGAGGGAGACAGAGTCCAGTGGAGCCGGGCCCCGGGGGACTGTAGGAAGGAGGGCACAGGAGGAGGAGAGCACAAAGCACTCCCAGAACAGCTTATAAACAGGCAGGGCTGGCGGGAAGGCAGCGGGGCCCTTTCCGGAGGGGCTAGAAGCTTGTACAGGGTTGTGGAAAGAGCACAGGGACGGGGTCTGGGAGAGGAGGCCATGAGTTATGGGACCCCAAGCAGGCCCAGCCTAACCTCCCTGTGACTCGGTTTCCTCCAGTACACTGGAGCTCGCAGCAACCTCTCCCGGGCTCCCTCCTGGGGCTGGCATGAGGGTCAGCGGCGATGATGTTGGTGAAAACGCTGTGTGGGCTCTGAGCCCTGATCAGATGTTATTTATTATTCTGAGCTGTGTTCTGGTGGGAGACTTGGAAGGGCTGAGAGAGAGAGCTGGAGTGTTCTAGGGCCGCTTCTTCCCTGATGCTGTTTTGAGAGTTCTCAGAGCAGAATGGCCAGAAGCGGGGCCCTGGGAGGGAGAGGCCTTGGCTCTGGACAGGACGGAGCTGGGCGAGGGCTTTCTCCATCAACCCGGAGCAGGACAGCTTCCCCCACTCCTCCGATTGCCCCCTCCCTCCATCTCTGCTCTGCGCCCCTCCCTCTCTCCCCCAGCTCCTCTGCTCTCTCTAATGGTCTCGAGTCACTCCCCAGAAATCAGCCTCCTCTCCCTGGATACTTCTCCTCGCGTGTAATGAGGCTCTGACAATTTTTCGAAGTCCTGCTTAGAAATATGTCACCGTCCATTTCCCCTTGTGATGTCAAAGGAGGCTGCCCAAATTGTGTTCGTCAAGTGTGTGCTGAGGCCCCACTTCGAGCAGCTGGAACACGGGTTTATAAAATTACAGGGAATTCAAAGTAGCCGGCGCTGCCTGCTGTCTGGCTGTATTACCGGGACTGGCCTTGGAGGGAAATTTATTCCAATAATTTAGGGGTTTAGGATCTGACACCCTTCATTAGCTCTTTGACATAAGCAGAAAAGACAGATCTTGCAGAATGACCCACACGACAGAAAGGAATTGGCTCAGGCGGGGAGAAGGCAACATACCACCCTGTGAGGAAGAGGAAAAGTCTGCAAGGTGGGAAAAGAGGCTGTGCTGCCTTTTCCCAGTCAGACTGGATGGTGAGCTGTAGCTCTGAGGGAAGAGTGGACCTGGGAAAGGATGGGTCTGGGTTTCAAGACTCAGTTTCCCCATCTATAAAATGACAACACTGCTAGGGACCCTTTTGGTCCCTACTGGCTCTGACATATTCTGTGCCCACCCCATCCACCATCCCTGGGACACAGCAGCTCAGATGCTGCTCCCCAAATCCTTTATGGTTTAACTTTGAAAAGGTGCCTCTCTCTCCCAGGGATCTGCCTCTCCACCTCTCACCACCGGGGGATCGAGTGACCAGTGCAGAAACATAGCCTGTTCACTTTTCAGTGGCATTTTAGATAGAAGCCATTTCCTCCCAAATGGGAGAGAAATTGCCTCCGCCCAGGCAGCTTCTGACTCTTTTCCCAGCCTTCCCCACAGATATATTCCCTGATGTTTCACAAACCTCTTACCCAGCCTGTAAAAACCAGAGTCTGGGATGTACCTTGACGGCAGTTCCAACAGATGGGGGTGGGCGGGGTGATTTCCAGAGGTCCCTGCCTGAGCCCCACGAGCTGGGGTCCCTGTTTCCCTATATTAATAGTGGGGTCGCCGTAGCTGTGCCGCGCAGGTGAGGTGCTTAGCCTCTCTGTGTATCCTTTCCTCAAATCTAAAATGAAGGTACAGTTCGTTGCATGGAATAAATGAGATGTTGTATACGGAAAGCCTGGCACTTACGAAGAGCCCAGTAAATATTAGCAATTAGTATCACTATCATTGTTTACTGTGATTGACCTTGGGCAAGTCCCTCGCTCTCTCCAGCCGTGAACCTTCTCCTTGGTAAAGTGGGGGGAAACGAGACAACTGAAAAGTGCCTGGCACCCCGAAAGAGCTCACTGGATGCAGCCATCAAGCCATCAGCGAGCGCGGCCGGCCGCCCAGCGCCACCGTGAGACACTGTCACCGCGTAGGTTCTTCTGGAGCCGCGAGCGTGTCAGTGGAGGAGAGAGGAATGTGATCCGTCCCTGCAGCCGGGGAGCCGGAGCATATCTGGTATGTGTGTCTGGAACGATTTGGGGAAAAATCACCAAAGTTGGAACTTGAGATGCAAACGGCCCTGGACAGAGAGATAGGGAGCTGTCCTGCGCACACCCCCCACAAAGGGACCTGGAGCTAGGGTGGGAGTCGGCTTACACAGCACAGCCGCTGCTCAGGCCCGCCCTGGAATGGCCGTGAACTTGTTGTTTTTCCACGTCATTTGCTCTCAAATGTACTGTCGGGCAGGGCGATGCTAGCCCCGCGCCTGCAGGTCCCTCCGCGTAACAAGCGATTGTGTGTTCTTCAGAGGTGGCCGAGGGGAGGAGGGGGCCCGGCCCAGGAGCTGGGGGAAAGGGAAACAAACCTCTCCTTTACAGTGAGCTTGCGTGTCTTGGAGCCAGCTCCCCCCAAAACACATGCCATTTCTGGCCCTTGAAGGGGTTAAAGGCCTCCTGGAGTCAAAAACAAGCAGGTGTCCCACCGTGCCAGATACGCCGCCTAAACTGCTTCCAGCTTTTTTTTTTTCCCCTTCTGCAACAAGTCTGTGATCAGCCACGGGACAGAGGAGCCAGCAGCCCGCCTGTGACAGGCATCAGGTTAGCTCGCTCCCACTCGGGTGGCGCCCAGGATATAAATCCAGCCTCGGGCCCCTGCTGCAGCTCCGTTCCCTGCACACTCAGGAGAGGGGCTTTCCTTGCAGAGACCTTTCTTTTCTCTGAAGCGGCACAACCCAGCGGGCTCCACTGACTCGGTGGAGGCAGCCGCGGCGGCCGCAGCCTTACCAACAGCAAAGAAGCCTGCTGGGGGGCCAAGGGCAGGTGTCTGCGGCCCCTGAGGAGTCCCTGGCGGGCCCCATCCCCTGGTGGCGCTGCAGGGGAGGCCTCTGGCCACTGCGGACCACACCATGAGGGCCCTGGGGTGCCGCCGGTTCTGGTCCCGCTGGGGACGAGTGGCAGCCCTGCTGCTGCTGCTCCTGCTTGGGGTACCCCTGAGAGGGCTGGCACTGCCCCCCATCCGCTATTCCCACGCTGGCATCTGCCCCAACGACATGAACCCCAACCTCTGGGTGGATGCCCAGAGCACCTGCAAGCGGGAGTGTGAGACGGACCAGGTGAGTGGGAATCCAGAAGCCTGAGATGACCACGTGAGTGCGTTAGTGAGGGAGAATGGGAGCCAGGACGTGGGGATGGCAGGTGCCCTGTGGGGCCCAGGGTGAAGGAACTCGGGTCCCAGGCCACGTGGAGTTATTGAAACAAAGTATGATGTCTGTCTAACTCCAAGGCTCAGAAAAAGAGGTGGATGTGATGTCCAAGTTCATCAGGGACAGGGAACCCTGGAATTTCTGCTCTCATGTTTGCTGACGGCTGTTCTGAGTCAGGACTATGCCAGGCACATGTGTCAGTAGCCTGTTGACAGGTGAGAGCCGACACTCTCCACTGTGCAGTGAGCAGCACAAGGTCCAATAGCCAGGGATGGGAGGGCTGGGCTTGGAACCTACGTCAGTCTGAAAACAAAGCTGAGGCTTCGTCTGGCCTCCAGACCACCACCCCAGGGCTTTGGACCCTGACCCCGAGAACAGACCAGGCTGACAATGATGGCGGGCAGGAACAGCTCTGAATAGATTGTCTGGGTGTCCTTGGGAGGGAAGTGGACTAAATTTTGACCAGCCGGATTCCTCGGTCCTCCCTTCTGCTCTCATCAGAGCACCCTGCAGCAAGCAGGGCAGGCCTGATTTGAGGACAATTCTCTCCCAGCTCTGGGGTCCAAGGGCCATTCCTGTCACTCCTTCCAACCAGGGGTGAAGAGCCTGCTGGTATCCGGTGCCTGCCTGTGCAGAGGCACTCCCTGCTGGCCTGGCTAGCTCCTGAGGCTCAGGGCTGGGCTGGACATCACCAGGGAACATGAGGGACCCTGGTGCTTCCTCTGCCAAACTAACGTAACTCACAGAAGAGCACAGGATCGCCCTGGAGAGAGTGGCCTCTGCCCCACAGCGCTCCAGGGACGATTCGCAGGCTTTTCAGGCCAGACACACTGCCAGTGAGCAATGGTGGTGCCGAGGGAAATGATAAGGGGTGCAGAGGGGTGGCGGAGCATCCCCATGAGGCTGAGTTCGTGCTCTTGGTTGGCTATATTTACAGGGAGGCCTGTTTCACTGGCTGAGGCTGGACTGATAAATCAGGTGGGGCTTGGGGACAGTGAGACTCTGGCTGATTTACTGTATCTTGGGGAGAAGGTACCTGTGTGGGACTGGGGATTCAGCGAAGGAAAACCATTCTAAGGATCATCTCTAGGTTTCCTGTGCCCAGAAATACCTTTCCCCTGGTCCCTGATGACCCAGGCTTTCATGGACCTCTGAGTCTTGAGGAGCTTAGAGAATCTAATGACCCTCAGGCTGAGAAGCAGGTGCTCCTGCCTGCTCCTAGTTCCCCCCACTCGGTCTCTCTCCCTCAGACCCCAGCTGAGATCTGCCCATCCCTGTCCCCAAACCTTCTCTGGTGTGGCCTAGAAGCCTACGCCAAGCAACGGCTGCAAAACAAAGTGCCCATTCTGAGCCGAGACGGGGAAAACAGTAAACAAGTTGTGCGGCAGGCTCTGCACGGCCAGCCCTGGTGGGGGACCTTCCCCCTCTTAGCCGATGTGGAATGTCAGAGGCAGGAAGAATAGTCAGAACCACGAGAGGCCAGCCCTGGTGGGGAGTAATTCACAGAGCTACTACCAGGGAGGAGGATTAGGAGCAGCGCCTGCCAGCCCAGTGGGTACGATGCGTTATTGTCGAAAACACCACGTGAAATCCTTGTTTGTGTCAGCCCCTGAGCATGCTGCTAATTTCGAGGAATTAAGCTAATGCCTTACATGGCTCCACAGAGAATCAGAGGGAATTACAGTCTGGTAAGTCCTTGCTGACGGCCTTGCCGACCTTTGTCACACAAGTGGACTTTTTCCCTTGTTGGTTTCCCCATGAAATGTCTCCCACGTCGGAACCGAGCGCCGGGGTCTGGAATAGCCTGTGGTGATGAGACCGAGCATCCTGGGCCTGTCCCGTCTGCGTCTTCCTCTCGGCTTTGGACGAATGTGGGCCTGTGGGCCCTCGTCAGAGCTGCTGCTCTTGACGTGTGTATGGATAGCCTTGAACAACTGTCCCAGCCGTTTCCCACTTCGTTTGGTGTGACCCCTTTAATTAGGCCAGGGCATCCTCACCCCAATGGAAAAAAAGACAAAAAAGCATTTGTTCCTACTTAGACCTCACTCGTGGTCACTATAGGATGTAGAAGAAAAACCTCCTTTCCGAATCCCATCCACCTGGAGCTCAAAGCCCTTTCCCACCACGTCTCAGCCCTGGGCACTTGGCGTCACCCCTCTGAGGCTCTGCATTCTCATCTGTAAAGTGTACTAAGAAAACTTTCTCTCTGAGAGGGATATAGCTTACCTCTTCCCACGCCGCGGGCTGTGTGACCTTGGGCTAGTTACCTAATCTCTCTGCGGCTCGGTTATCATCATCTGTGAAGTGGAGATAATGCTATACCCACCTCATAGGCTTGTGATGAGCATTAAATAAGTTGACACTCTTAGAAGAGGGCCTGGCAAAGAGTCAAGTGCTCTGTATACCTCAGCTATTATTATTATCGAAGTGTTTTGCTCACGATAGGGGAGCACGTGCTAGATCCCGTCCACGGAAACCACGGGGCAAGGTGGGGGCAGCCTGTGCTCTCTCTCTTCTCCTCTTCACTCAGGTCTCTCGATCTGGCTCTCTCCAGGAATGCGAGACCTATGAGAAGTGCTGCCCCAACGTGTGTGGGACCAAGAGCTGTGTGGCAGCCCGATACATGGACGTGAAAGGGAAGAAGGGCCCGGTGGGCATGCCTAAGGAGGCCACGTGCGACCACTTCATGTGTCTGCAGCAGGGCTCTGAGTGTGACATCTGGGACGGCCAGCCCGTGTGTAAGTGCAAAGATCGCTGTGAGAAGGAGCCCAGTTTTACCTGCGCCTCGGACGGCCTCACCTACTATAACCGCTGCTACATGGACGCTGAGGCTTGCTCCAAGGGCATCACGCTGGCCGTTGTCACCTGCCGCTATCACTTCACCTGGCCCAACACCAGCCCCCCGCCACCTGAGACCACCGTGCACCCCACCACAGCTTCCCCGGAGACCCCAGGCTTGGACATGGCGGCCCCAGCTCTGCTCAACCACCCCGTGCACCAGTCTGTCACTGTAGGCGAGACAGTGAGTTTCCTCTGTGATGTGGTGGGCCGGCCCCGGCCCGAGATCACCTGGGAGAAGCAGCTGGAGGATCGGGAGAACGTGGTCATGAGGCCCAACCACGTCCGCGGCAACGTCGTGGTCACCAACATCGCCCAACTGGTCATCTATAACGCCCAGCTCCAGGACGCCGGCATCTACACCTGCACGGCCCGGAATGCCGCAGGAGTCCTGCGCGCCGACTTCCCGCTGTCGGTGGTCAGGGGCGGTCAGGCGGCGGCCACCTCGCAGAGCAGTCCCAATGGCACGGCCTTTCCTGCGTCCGAGTGCCTGAAGCCCCCGGACAGCGAGGACTGTGGCGAGGAGCAGACCCGCTGGCACTTCGATACCCAGGCCAACAACTGCCTCACCTTCACCTTCGGCCACTGTCATCGCAACCGCAACCACTTTGAGACCTACGAGGCCTGCATGGTGGCCTGCATGAGCGGGCCGCTGGCCGTGTGCAGCCTGCCCGCCCTGCAGGGGCCCTGCAAGGCCTACGCACCCCGCTGGGCCTACAACAGCCAGACGGGCCAGTGCCAGTCCTTTGTCTACGGGGGCTGTGAGGGCAACGGCAACAACTTCGGAAGCCGGGAGGCCTGTGAGGAGGCCTGTCCCTTTCCTCGGGGGGACCAGCGCTGCCGGGCCTGCAAGCCGAGGCAGAAGCTTGTGACCAGCTTCTGTCGCAGTGACTTTGTCATCTTGGGCCGCGTCTCTGAGCTGACTGAGGAGCCCGACTCAGGTCGTGCCCTGGTGACCGTGGACGAGGTCCTGAAGGATGAGAAGATGGGCCTCAAGTTCCTAGGCCGGGAGCCGCTAGAGGTCACTCTGCTCCACGTGGACTGGACCTGCCCCTGCCCCAATGTGACGGTGGGCGAGACGCCACTCATCATCATGGGGGAGGTGGACGGCGGCATGGCCATGCTGCGGCCCGAGAGCTTTGTGGGAGCATCCAGCCCCCGGCGGGTTAGGAAGCTGCGTGAGGTCATGCACAAGAAGACCTGTGACGTCCTCAAGGAGTTCCTGGGCTCACACTGAAGACCCCCCTTCCCCCCTTCCCAGCCCTCTCCCCCCTACCTACCCTGACTCCTCTCAGTTGGCAAACTGGGCAAGGTCAGATTTGACAGTCTTAGGCCAACAGAGAAATATCAATCAACACATAAGAAAAAAGCCAGCAGAGGGTTTTAGATCAACTTCTATTCTTTGGGTTCAATAAGGGGTCCGTATCTTTTTTAGCTGAGGGGGACGAAAGGATAAGTCAATAGACACCTGCGAGTTATTCCTGATGACAAATCTCTGTAGGTATTATCCTCTTCTCTCTGCCGGCCACCTCTCCCCCGGCTCTGCCAGCTGCCCTGCCCCCAGCCCGTCTTCCAGCCAGGGTTCTAGAGATGGCAGCTGCGTGGTGGTCACAGGCATCATGGAAGAAATTGGTTTGCAAAAGGAGTAGGTAGGAGAGACAAGGAGGGTCTACGGACTCATTGGACAAATTCCCCACAGCCCCCAGGCCGCTATGAGCAGAGACCTCTTCATGTCGTGGGAAGTGGGAAGCAGGAGGCCTGGTCCAGCCCAGCACACAAGCTGCCCTGCGGGAAGGCTGCTGGCCAGGTACCCATGGGTGATGATCAGCTGGCGCTTCAGTCAAGTTGGCCCGGGGGTCTCTGAGGCCACCACAGCACCGGCAGAAAACATGTTTCTCATGTTTCATCCCCTTGGCTTTATTGTTGATTTATTGATTCAGTGATGTTCAGCCCAAACCAACAGACATTTTTCTGAACATTTACTGGGTGCCAGGTGCTAAGACCACAGAGAGCTGTTAGCTGCCCAGTTCATGGTGACTGAACACAAGTGTCTAGATCCTGGGGTTCCCTGCAAGCAGACCCTTGGCCGTCACTTCTTGCTGTCAAGTGGCTTCATTTGACAGACAGTGTGCTTTCATCTGCCACTGGCTTCCTTGGACATAAAACAGATAGAAGCCCCAGGATCTGTTTTGGTAGGAAGAAAGGAAGCAGAAAAGCAGATTGGGAAGGGGTTGGTGAAGGAATGGGAAGGGACACTGGCTTAGGAAGGGAAGGCATGCTGCTCGATGCTCCCATCTGGTGGTGGACTCAGGAGCTGCGGGGACCTGGAAGGAGGCTCTAGGTGAGTGAGATGGCAGGTTGGGGGATACATGGCAGCTTGTTGTTCTGGATTTCCTGTGCAGGGCCAGCCACCCCACCACTAGATAAAGGATGTGGGAAACCCATTGTCAGCTCTGCTTCTGCCCGCCCAGTCCCCCCTCAGCCCTTCATTCTGCCCATGCCCCTCCAAAGCCGAAGAAGGTCATTGTAGGGCATCCGTGTTTCTTCTTCAAATATAGGGAGGAAGATACCAATTAAAAGCTCATAATATTAATAGGCCTTCTTGTGTGATTTATTTGAACAATGTGTGTGGGAGAGGGGAGGGAGGGTGCGTGGTGTTATTTGCTTTGGTGACCATGCAGGAGGGAAGTCTGGCCAATGGGCTCATATCTGGGTGATGAAGGGACACTACTCAAAGTCAACCCACTTAGCAGCCCTAAGGCTCCTTAACCGTGGTCACTATGTCTCTGTGAATTAGGCACAGGAGACCTGAGGCCCCAGGTGACTTAACACAGAGAAGGGAAGGTGTGGGCCGAGGCCCAGGTTTTCTAACTTGTATCTCAGTCCTTTACCTCTCACCACAACAGGATGGCGGGCCGGGGGCAGACTCCAGACCCCGCCTCCCCACCTCGGACAGTGTCAGATTTCGAGGTGCAAAGGTATAGGAGATGGAAGTGGGGCAGGGAGGGACGGGCTGCCCAGCTGTGACCCACTAGGGGGCCTCTGGGCGAGGCCTGGTTCCAAAGCCCTAGGTGTGCTCAGAGCATGTGGCTTGGTTCCCAGGATGGGCACAGCAGCACCTTGGGTCTCTGATACTCGTGGCTACTCCCCTGCCTGCAGGTGTGTTCGGGAACCTGGAGCCATGGCACGCCCCACAGCTTGTCTGTCCCCCAGGCTGGGAGCCAGCTAAGCACAAAAGATACCTACCTGTCTCCTATCCACTTTCCTGGGTCTTCCAGGGCCACCGCCCAGAGGAGGAATCTAGGCCTGGCCCAGGCCAGCCCAGCCCAGCCCAGCCCAGCCCTCCTTAGAGAAAATTCCCTGCAATAAGGAGGGGCCAGAGCAAGAAGACAAGCTGTTCCCTGGAAGAGAAGAGAAGCCAGAGGAGTGGGAACTTCTCAAGTCGCCACTGGAAAAATGCTGAGCACAAAACCGAGCCACCACAAAGGTGTGAGCACAGGCTATAGGTCCCTCCCTGCTCACGTCAGGGAACCAGGGAGGTGAGGACTCAGCTCCTTACCCACCCTCAGAGGCTTGGGGACATTCTATTGCACCTGCCTCTAGGCTGAGGTGTCCCAATAAACAGCACATTACCTTAGAGACTGAGGCGGTGAATGTTGACATGCCACCCCTGTCACTGCCCTTCTTCCTCATGCTTGCACAGCTGTGGGGCCTGAACCCTGTGGTTACCTGGTGGAGATGTGAGGTTCAGAGGAGTCCAGTCTCAGGGCTCCCTCTTACGAGCTCACAGCCACCCACAGCCCCAGACCTGGGGTCCCTGTCACATTCCAACCCCAGCCTGGTAGAGTGAGAAAGCCCAGCCTGTGGAGTCAGAGGCCCCTGAGATCTGAATCCGGGCTCTGACACTTATCCACTGTCTCTCTGAGTCTGTTTCCTTATCTGTAAAACAGAGAGTAGTAAGAGCTCTTTATAGAGACTTGGGAGCTTGACCCTTTTAACTTTGTCAAAAGGGAAACAGAGCCTGGCACAGAGGGCAGCCCCTGGGCCTTCTCCTCACCCTCAACAGCCCTCTGGCCAAGAGCAGACCCCTAGGGTCTAAAGCCTCCCCTCATCCTCTGGGCTTTGGGTTTCACAGGTTCAGTGACCACACAGCTTCCAATATTTTATTCTGTGGCTCACAGAGTACATCCAAACTGACCACCCCACACAGGCTGATTTGCTGTTCAGAAAATATGGGCACTTAAGGAATGATCGATTTAGAGTCTATTATAACTTTGGACCTACTATGTGGCATTTATTTTTCTGTCCTGGAAACCAAGGCTGAGTCTCCATCCTCCGTTGGTGAGGCCTTACACAAGAACAGACATCTAGTATGTACTCAGTAAAGACACAACTGAATTCCCAGGGCCTGGTTGCCAGGTAACCTGGGGAGGCCGCCCCACCCCGTCTCAGAGATTTGCCCCTGCTTGGGCCCAGGATATACAAGAATTGAGCCATCTCTCAGGTCCGAGGCCAGACTTACCTGCTTTCTGTCTACACTTGGCCCTCACTCCTCCCCGCCTTGCCTCTGTGGGCTCCCTCCGCCATTCTCTTCCCCCCCGCCTCGTTCCGTCCATCTCTCTGTTTACGTCCTCAGAGGCCTAGTATGGTGCCGCCATCTCCAGACCAGCCCCGAGGCCTCTGGGGCTGGGCAGCTTGGCTTTTTCCACCCTCTGCCTCCCCCAGCACCTCCGGCCTCCTAGGACACTCTGCTCCATTGTCTGGCCAGCTGCTCCATAGTCTGATGTCACCCCCTGCAGTATGGAGCAGGGACCAGGGGCGGAACCTTAGAGAGAACAAACACACAGCCACATGGTGATTTTCTTGAGCTGGGAGAATGCCCTGTGTCCAATCGTCCTGTTACAGCATCAACACTGAGCAGGCGCTTACTACGTGACAAGGTAGATGGATATCATCTCTTGTCGTCCCCATCACAACTGTATGAGACAGGATTCTATTTTATAGGCGGGAAAACTGAGGCTAGGAGGATAAGACACTTGCCCAAGAGCACCTGACAGCTAATGGCAGAGCCAAGATTTGAACCTAGCACAGACTTCGGAGTTCTTAATGCTCTAATTATGTTGTTTCTCTCAGTGTGTCTCTCTCCTTCCCTCCCCTTTCTTCTCTCTCTCTCTCTGTCTCTCCCTCCCTTCCTCCCTCCATCTCTCTCTCCAGACACATGCAAACACACACACACACACACACACACACACACACACACACACACACACACACAACGAATGCAGAGTGAGATATCACAAACACACAGCCACATGGTGATTTTCTTGAGCTGGGAGAATGCCCTGTGTCCAATCGTCCTGTTACAGCATCAACACTGAGCAGGCGCTTACTACGTGACAAGGTAGATGGATATCATCTCTTGTCGTCCCCATCACAACTGTATGAGACAGGATTCTATTTTATAGGCGGGAAAACTGAGGCTAGGAGGATAAGACACTTGCCCAAGAGCACCTGACAGCTAATGGCAGAGCCAAGATTTGAACCTAGCACGGACTTCGGAGTTCTTAATGCTCTAATTATGTTGTTTCTCTCAGTGTGTCTCTCTCCTTCCCTCCCCTTTCTTCTCTCTCTCTCTCTGTCTCTCCCTCCCTTCCTCCCTCCATCTCTCTCTCCAGACACATGCAAACATACACACACACACACACACACACACACACACACACACACACACAACGAATGGGCAGTGTGAAATCCCATCGGTACCCCAAATATCTCCAAAGAGCCTGCGTCCTGTCAGCTGTACGGACAGTGCCCCAGGGCTGTCTTATGGTCTTGCCATGTGACATGATATTTGTATTGCACACATAAGCAGTCATGGCCTAGATTCCTGAGCGAGACATCAGCCTTCTGCCTACTCATCCTTCAAGACGCAGCTCCTTGGGGAAGCCTCTGCTGTCCCCCAGGCTGCATAAACACTCTCCTCCAAGTCTCTTCTCCTCTGTGCTTGCACTGACCCCAGGCCAGCATCATTGCTTACAGCATCCAGGAGGTCTGTAGGCCCAGCTCACTGATCTCATGACAAATTCGTTGAAGAGTTCTGGGACCAAGGGCCTGAGGTGCACTGCCTGAGCGCAAGGCTATGTGGGGATTTCTCTGGGGTCTTCCCTCCTTTTTGTCAGCTCCTTTTCCTGATTTGGTCTCTTCCTTCTCTTCCCACCTCCCCAAAGAGTCTAAAGTCTCTCTTCTGCTCTGAGAATGTGTGATTAATATAAGCAGGATAGGTGGCAGGGTTCCTGGGTCCTATTTTTGGCCATGGCCTCATTCTGGAATGTGCCCTGAGGTCAAGTGACACTCCTCTCAGGCTGTGTCTGGAGGAAGGAAGAATAACCCTCCTGTGGGCCTACTCCTGAGGGAGAGGGTGGGGCAGGCAGGTAGGCAAGCCTTCCACCCCTCTCCTCCCCGCCTCTTTGGCTCCTGAGCCCCCCAGCACTTCTATTTCAGGGTTGGGTTGGAGTCCCCGTGTCTATATCTCATATTACCCTGGGACACGGAACTGTGGCAGCTGGGTCTCCAGCGACACCTTGGCCATGTGCAACCCCACTCAAATAAGGGGAAGATAGGACTGGGCTCCAGCGCTTCCCGGGCTGGACCCTCCTGAGGGTGGGGCCTCTTCCCAGCATGTCTGTCGGGGTGAGGTGGGGCTCCTGGGTACTTTCTGTGCTTTT